CTGCTAAGCTCTATACGTTTTGTCCACCTCCTTGGTCTCCTGTCCTTTCATAATATATTTCTACACCCACTTGATCCCACTTCATTGAAATCTCGATGATAAATGGACGCAAGGATTGAGATTCGACCTCAACGACCGCAGCGCGGTAGAGAAGCCGCCCGTGTGCTTCCGCTAGCTGTCGACCTCCTCCCCGAGGCCTCAAGGTTTTTTGATCTGGCACACAGGTTCTGCATTTTCATCCCTCCTTTTGGACAGCCGCCTGCCCAAATTTTTTCCGGAGTGCGTGTGTGCGTGCGCCTAGCTTGGAGTTTTCCTGAAGCTTCCAGAGCCCACCCAGATCGGCAGACCTCCTGTGGCCTCATCGAAACAGCCGAAAACCTGCCTTGGCTGTGGTGCCGAGAACCATTGCAGCGCAGTGTGGAACCTAAAACCTGCAGGATGCTGAACACGGCTAAGGATCCTGTCCCCTCTCAGTGCTGGAGCGTCCTTCGAAATTTCTGGACCCCGACTCCAACTGCTCCAATTTGTGTTAATCCGGTTTGGTAACTTGGTGCTCCAGGCGTCATGGGCACCCAGCTTTAGTGAACACATTAACAGATTTGTGTCATACCCTTTGCTATCATGTTTTGCCAGGCAGAACATTCGAGAGGTGTGGTGGGAGATCAGGGATACCCGATCATACCCGTGTCAGCGCTTGGGCCCTGAGTTTGCATTTTCAACAAAGCGTTCTGTGGCAGTCAGCATAATTAGGGACTTCTGCGCTTCACTTCACAAGCCACTTGAGATTGGTGGGCTCAATCACTGCAGCAACCAGTTGAAACGTCTCTTGCATTACATTTGGGATTGCCATTTGGGTGAATGAAGTATGAAGGAGACAGACATAATTTGTACATCCGTCTTTTTGTCCCTGGATGTTTTTCGGCTTCCAGCAGGCAAACAATGGCCTAGAAGCGCTAGAACATCTGGCTAAGATTCAGACTGAAGCTGCTTGGCCAGCGAGCCAAAAATATATCGAGACTGCATATGCCGTTTGTTGTAGGATCTGAAGGGAACTCAATCCAGAGGGCTTTGGTGAAGTTGCTTGTGTTCAATGCCTACAAACGCAAGTTGCACATCATGGTGAGTTGCCTGTTGAGGAGCTACTATGATTGTAAACTGCTTTCAAGTGCAAGGTCGCACAATAGTACAGCGAGCATAACTTTGGGATGTTGTCTAACTGCCACAAAGCACTGTTTCAATCCCTCTTTCCGCCCAACCGAGGGCAATTTGACAAAGCCTGTGATGGTGCTTTTAGATGTGAGAATGCCTGGTATGGATGGCCGCGAGTGCGCTCTTAAGATCCAGGAGATGGTGAAACAGTGCTTTGGCATCATGTAAAGTCAAATGAAGAGAATTCTTTCCAGAGTCTGCAGATCTTTTTTAAGCCCACCCTTACTCGCTACTAGCAATACGAAGCTCCCAGCTAGGACGAAGGATAGCTAACGCGCCTGCGGGCGGGGAGAGCTTTCTTGGAGAAGCGCTCGCAGTAATGATTTGGTTCCTAGATTCTTTTTTTTTTAAAGCTTAATACCTTTTAGGTATATACACTACAGAGTCTACAGATGTTGGTGTTCAAAGGTTTCGAGCACATTCAGTACTAATTAGTACATATCACAGGCTTCATCATTTGTGTTGAATCTGTCGATGCCGCCTGGAAAACATTCTGGCGTTGGCTCTTTGTTTCCTCCTTTCACTTGACAACCGCCGCGGAATAAAGGCTCCCTGCCGCTGCCCAGAATTTATACCTGTTTTAACCGGAGCAGAGCAGTCTTGAAAAGCCGAAGGGTGGCTTTTGCTAGGTTCTGGCAGCTGCCAGGGCAGTTTGCTGTAAGGGCGACATTGACTCCTGTTGCCGTCTTTTGGTTTGGCGCTGTGGTCGATGGTTGCTGCCGAAATGTTTGTGAAACATATAGATCCAGACACCTGTCGATTCCTCTCAGGAAACAGCTTCGGCGAGAGCCATACGTGATTTGCATCTCCTCCATTGCCAGACAGGTGCGGCAAACGCCAGTGTTGGCAAAGAACGAGGAGCCTGGTTAAACTTGCTCCACACCTAGACGCATGGGAAGCCCTGCAACCTGCTCCCATTGCTGTGCAAACTATGTAGATCCTGCTACACACGGCTAACAAAAAGCATAAACATGACAATCACCGCACTCGCACACAAACGTGCAAAAAGCATGTCGTCATGTCGGCGAGACAAAGTGCTACACAAAAAGCATCCAAAAGCTATGCTCGCAGATGCACACAGGAACACATGATTGGAAAGGCATGCGCATAATATACAGATCGAATCAGATTGATGACTGATGGATGCAGTGGATGCAGCTGGGCGTCCATTGCGATCGCCTCCTCCGCCTTGAGACCAATCCACATCACAGGATCTTGCAGAATCTTGATCCATTTTGTCTCAGTCTCCCAGTTCCCGTAAGTTGTAGAAACACTGTGGCGGGTGCGACAAAGTTCTGCTCAAGCCGACCGAAAGAATGAATCCAGACAAACCGGGTGGAATTGAATGGACTGTCACCACGTCGCCTATAGTGGCACACACCGTCCCCGGACACCACGCGAAATCACCTGCAAACCATACAGAATTACAGTAAGGTTTTTGTGCACTTCCGCCTGGTTGTACTCATTGCAAATCTAGAACTCAGCCTGGCCTACCGGCTGGCTTTCGTGAGTGCGGCAGCCATTGGATTCTCGCAGCTCATGGCCTATGCGTTACGCTCCAAAAAGTTCTAGTGTTTTGTATATCATGTTGTATCCAGAGGGCGGGGTTTGGTTTTGTGGTGTCAGAGGAGCGTTTCCATGCAGCGTTTCCTGCGATCTGTTGCCAGCGACGAATTACCTTATCGCATATACCAGTGGACATCCTCGCAGGTTTGGCTTCCAAGTGAGTTTTCCAAGAGGTTGTCAAAACATCCACAACATCGCTTTTGACAAACCACATGGGAAAATATGGGACATACTATCGGTTTGCTTTCTAGAGGTCGCCAAACCACTACAAACGTTGCAGATAGGACACAATTTTGAGACCCTCAGCAGCAAGACACCACTGAAACGAAGCCCAAGCTTATGAGCTTGCGCGTTAACCAACCTCTCGGTTTCATGGACCTTCTTCCTTACAGCTCATGGATGCGCAGCTCCACACGATGACACTTGCCGCATGTATGGTTACAGCAGGAAGTGCAAGATCAAGGCTTCTCATACTTGCACGAACGAGTAACCAGTTTTGTCCTGTCCTGTTGCTTCCTTCCACACGGGTATAAAAGCGAATTGGATGCATCGGGATCCTCGAAAAGTTGAACAAACTTCAGCACTGCTCCCTGTTGCAAGTTTGGAGAGTTTGGAGAGTTTCATTTTGCCTCGGAAATTGCCCTGTGACCAGGATGCTGAAAGACTTCACAAGCCGCGGTTTTGAGCACTTCAGACAATTAGTCTTAAAAGCTAGGGTAACAGAGTCAAATCCTCCCCCTTCCGAAGTGCGGCATTGTCAGAGATCCGAGTAGTCAGTGAAGCAGCACCCATGCAATCTGGCGTTTGACGCCGCGCCACACATGTGGCACAGCTGTGCAACAGCTAGAGAGGAGAGAGAGAGAGAGAGAGGAGAGAGAGAGAGAGACCTGCATGGTCACGCCCACTCACGCACCCCTCACCTCCTCTACTGTGCTGGCTTTCGTTTCCCAAATACCCTCTCAACTTCCTGATTCTAAAAGGAATAAATTAACTTTTAAAGAACATCACCGTCCTGACTTAAAACATCTTAAAACTTAGCACATAGGCTTGGAATATTGCACCCAGCGTTGCCTTGCTTGGATTCGATATTTCAGCCGTGAGAGTGATGGGAGCTGACGCAGTATGCAGGTGGAAGTTGACGAGGGAGGGGGCAATTTTCAAATTGCATCTTGGCCAAACAAATGCAAGAGAAGGCGAGAGTGCATCGCACATTCTGCGGCGAGGGTGAAAGTTTTGGTAAGTGCTTCAGTCTACAAGATCTCATTTCCATTGCCCAACTCTGCGGTGTTCTGCTAGATCTAAGGTGCTCCCAAAGCCAATCAATGCCGCCCAGCAGCACAATTCATTGATTCCATCCTTCATGCATTGAGATATATATATAGATAATTATATATATATAGTTTTTGTTCGAGCAATCGTACCCCTACAATGCTTATCGAACTGTCATGCTGGAACTAAAGAGAAGTCCGTGACTTACTTACGAAATGAGGGAATCACTTGCTTGTGCTACTAATCCGGAGTGGCTGATTTGACCTCTTCAGTTCAGGGATGACTTAAGCAAGGCAGACGTTGTGTCCAACGGCGCTGTCCCACCCCAAGGTTCAATACATTGAGGATGCCTTTGATCACCTCAGGAAATGGTGGACCCTAGGCAGGGAAGAAATGAGCCTAATGAGAGGGACATCTTCCATATGATAGTAGATTTCAGCATCCAGTGCAAGTATCGACGGAGGACAGTGCCATACTCAGTCTGGAACTTTGTTTGGTGTAAAGAATATGAATGATGGTGATCTTGTCCAAGGTTTTTCCAAGTACGGCCAGGAGCCCCTAGTAGCGTCCTTGTTCCTAGTAGCGATGCCCTTTGCCCCTAGTAGCGTCCTTGCTCCTAGTAGTACGGCCAGGAGCCCCTAGTAGCGTCCTTGCTCCTAGTCATGATCTTAGGCTGTTTCATGCGATCAGATTTGCTGTGATAGTCTGATAGTCTCTGCCAGGTTTGTGTCGGCAGCTCCCAGCATGGAAGACCTTTGACATTGACAAAATTGCCACACAGCGGCAAATACAAAAGAGCACCCAGACTCGGCAGTCTGAATCAGGAGTTTTCTTACATGGCATGTACTTGTAGCTGCAACTTCCTGGCTGCCACTCCTAGTCCTAGTCCTTGATATCATCGTGTATTTTTTTGGGAGTGGTTGTTGTGCTGCAGAAACTTGCAGAGAGGTTGGCACATTTGTGCCGTACTTCATGCATTCGCACACGAGCGAAACAAGCAAAGATGTGGCAACCCAAAGTCGCAACTCCATGAAATTATGGGAGGCTTGATGAGATGCACCACAGCAAAGCAAGCAGCAAAGACTGTTGAGTACCAGCCCAAAGGTGATGGTCTCACTTTACTTGACTGGAGAATTACCGTTCCCCTGCAACAGTGCAAACGCATCCAAACCAGCAGTGTTAGGACCTTTTTGGGCTGGATCCTTTGCTCATTGTAAGGACCTTCTAGCCGCTGATGATGAGAAGCTTGGCCTGAAGTTAGAAGCTGCACATAGCTGCTCAAGAAGCCCGTTGAGAACACAAGGGCTGCAAAGCAAGCACACAACTTGTGCTTTGCTTTTGCCATCGATACCTTTACGAATATTAGGGCAAGTGTGCTAATCAGGAACGACTCTACAAATGAAACTTGAAGTATCGCAATGTATGGCGTTTGTTTGTGCGCGAAGCCAGCCAAGGCCCCTTTGCCGAATGTCAGCACAAATGGCTTTCAACCAAGCTGGAGTGCTGACAGATTCCACTTCTGATGCGGAGTCCAAGGAGAGACCAAACATCACGAATCACCAGATCTCACTAGCAAAACTTCCAGACCTGGCTACGGTTGGTTGTGTGGATTTGAGACAAGACATCCCTTTGACTTTCATGCGACACGAGCATGGCTTTGACTTGGCCATGGCCACGCACAAAACAACACCCCAAAGTGACTTGTGCTCATGATCGAGACGCAAAATTGTCGCTGAAGGGAAGTGGAGCCTGCTTATATTGATTTATAATATCCCTACCCTCTTAGGTACACTTCTGGGGGGGGGGAACTAAAAAAATGTAACTTACAATTGCGGGAGACCCCATAAATGTATGTTGACCCCCCTCGTTTTGGGCCCTACTTATTCAAGTAGAGGCCATATTCATGGTCCCCCCCCCAGATTTTTGCTGTGTCTGGCTATGTCCCTGCGTGCATGTTCCTGGGAATTGTCCAGGAAAATGAGGTGCTGGCTGGTGTGTGTCAGTTAGATTTCTTTTTTTTGGGGGGGGCTGGAGAAAATGTAACTTACCACGTCCCACGTCCTAAGTTACATTTTCTGCCCCCCCTTGAAAATCAATGAGGGAAGAAGAAGCAAGAAGCAGTAAGAAAAAATGCTAACACAATGAGGTTTGCTTGGCTGAATCAGCGGCTCAACGGCACAAGATGTCATCAGAGATCATGACAAGAGTTTTTTTTTAATAGTTTGTGCGCATTCAGTGTGAGGGTTAGATGTCATGCAGGATATGCAGTTCACATTCTAACAAACCCAAAAATGTAAGCTACATTTTTTTGTGATATTAAAAAAACAATTGTAGCTAACATTTTTTTAGGACTTACAGGAAAAATGTAAGCTTACATTTTTAAGGTTCACTTTGCATACCCCCCCAGGGAAAATGTAACTTACATTTTTTATTCTTTTTTTAGGTCCCCCCGTATTAATATGTAGGGATTTTATAATGCAATTCTGAGTGATTCACTTGTTTGACTCCCAGAGCCATATACTGTCGCCATTTGGTCCCTGCAAGCATACAGGAGGAGATGCTGGAGCAGCTTGTGGAAGGGCAGGCCGGGCACTAGAAGCGAATCATCAAACTTTGGAAGTGAATCATGTCGTCATGTCGTCGCTTGGCACCTTGTTACTAGTAGCTTCTTGCTACTGGTAATAATGCCCTTAGCTACTAGTAGCGTCCTTGCTACTAGTAGCGATGCACCTTGTTACTAGTAGCGATGCCCTTGCTACTAGCAGCTTGGGTTTGGGTGATCACTGTGTGCTCCAAAAGGTGGGTGATGCGAGCCGTCCTTGGGTCCTCTTGCTCAGCAGCGAGGCAGCTCCTGTCAAGTGTTTTTTTGTAAATAACACAAAATATGTGTGTAATATAGATAGATTAGATTCCTACATAGTTACATAGAAGTAGATGAACGTTTTGATCTGATTGTTCAGCTAAACAAATTCATGTCAGCCAAATCACTTTCTGAGTACAGTATGCATGAGTGCGAGCTTTGTTTGTCAATCCCAATCATTATGACGCAGCAAAGGTTGGCAGGATCCCTCGAGAGGGCCTGGATGGATATTTCTCCCACCTTGTCAACCTGTGTACTGCTGTGTCACCCAGGGCCTCCCCAGTTAACATTTGCTGCTTGTTTCAAACCAAATTTGGTTTGTCTAGCTTTTTGTCGAGCTGCAGTCTCCCCATGCTCATTGACCGTTTTTTGAATAACTATATATATATATATTTACATTTTTGCATGTATCGCCAGTTTGTCTTTTCCTCTGTGGTTGACTGTGAAATTGGTAGCGAGCCCTCACCAAGAAAGGAGCACCGTTTGTAAGAAGCCCTGCTTCTAGATGAAGTGGATGTCAGCCAATGAGCCTAAAAGAGGAAAAGATTCGCATTTGATGACCGTGCAGTTAAGCACCTTAGCCCCACCAAGGAGTTTCCCTGAAGCTCCCTCTGCAGCTGCCTCGCCTATTGCTTATGCCTTTCCCTCCGACACAGACACACAAGCTCCCAATCCCAACCCGCCTCGAGCCTTTGTGGCGCGGGATGGTTGAGACCCTCAGACTCAGAGAGTGCTTCGTGATCATGACGAGCCACTCCCCAAAATGTAAAATAAATGGAATCGGCTCGAGGATGGGCGGGCCTCTTGCAACCACTTCAGTGCTTGTTTGCGATGGGTATTGTATCGAAGAACCGCTTCTGGAGCGTCGTTCTCAAGCTGATGTCCGTTGCCTTTGTCAGAGGCTGCATCAGGGTGGTAGGTATAACTGAAGTTGACATGTTCTGCACAACGTTCTCTGATCAACAGCACTTCCAAGGTCGCACGAAATTCTTCACAGGTTGGAATGGCTGCTCTCGTGATGAGATCAAAAAGGGGTTTGCAATACGTTGTGATGCTGGCTTTGCTTGAGAACTGCTCAAATCTGTTCGAGGGGTGTCGCCAATCAAATTCAAGCAGAGCGATCAACGCGCTGGCTCATCGAAAAGGCTTTGCCGAGATCGTGGATCGACGTACTTGTGAAATCTTCGAAGACCAGGTAACCGCCGCCCAAACTGGCCTTGCTGGACGATGGAGGTGACGTGTCGGGCCAGCAGCATTTTGTCCTTCGTTGGGGGACTCTCCATGATCGGAAGAGACCAGTGCAGGAGCATGAGCAGCACCTGAACCACACCTCTGGTCTGGCAAATCGCTCACGCGGAACAGGTATCGTTTCGGGTGTCACAAGGCTCCTCCAAGCAGCGTGAAAGCACATTTGGAATCATTTGGACAACCTGTCAGTCACAGGCGTTTCTGGTCCTCGCCAGGTTGAAGCGGCAGCGCAACTTTGCACTCGCTGGTCAAATGCTCACTGTTGCCGAATCTAAGTTTGACTTTGCTATCAGCCCTTTTGATTGCTTTTCGGACGGATGGCTGCAACTCTTCGAGAAAATGACAGAGATTGTGTGAACATGTGTGAACCAATGACGCATCTATAATCATCTATATAGAGGCATGGGTGTCAAAAATCGCATTTGAGACCGAGCGATCAGCCTGAACGATGTCGCTGCTGTTTCATCACGCTAAGCGACCGGTCGGATTGGAACTGCGTTCAGTCATCCTGATGGGTAGCATTGTGATCGAAAGCGATGGCAAAAGGCTTGCGTGTTTGTTTTGTGAACGCTTCTGGACACTCAAGAACGAAAGCTGCCGAAGGCCGTTTCACAACCTCTGTGATTTTCTACCTAAATCGGCGTGCTTGCTCCTCAAGAAGCGTCTGAGAACACCTACGACATGTTCAATCTCTGGGATTGTCTGGAGGTCCCTCCTCGCGGAGAGCTTTCGCGTGTATGAGATGATCCAGCCGTCCGCTTGTTGCCCGATTTCGGATCGGAATTGCAGAGTTTTAGACGAAATTTCGCGTGTGTTGAAGTCTCTGTCTCGCATCCACGGCAGTGAGGTCGACCCTGTCACACTGCTGGCGGCCTCCGTGGTTTGGACGACGCCAACTCACTGTCAAGAAAGGATGGGCCCTGAAATGCTCAATGTCAACGCGCCACAACCACGCTCAATGTTCAATGCCCAATTTATCAATGTCAATACTGTCAACAAAATTCAAGCTCAACACAGTGATGCAAGATTAACACAGGGCAGGTGGTGTCCAATGACTTGAAAAAGGACGCAAGAGTTGAATACCACACTTTGGGGCAGTCCCACAGTGAAGTGCAATGAAGCCCTGGATCCCAGTGTTTGGAGCACCTGGCTCCGCTAGCAATGTGAAATTGGTAGTGGGCCGTCGCCAAGAAAGGAGTACCGTTTGTAAGAAACCTGCTTCTAGATGAAGTGGCTGTCAGGCAAAGACCCTGTCCAAACTGCGCGGCTACTTCCACGAAAGCGGTTGCCCTGGGTGGTGCTGCGCAACCCACCAATTAAACATAAAATTCAACACACCTAACTAGGGCGCCGAGCACTTTTGACACTGGCAGGAATGGGCACGCATTGTGTATGACTGGGTGGAGGAGCCGCGGCCGCTCATTGCATTGCCAGTTGCAGAAGGATGATACATTATCAAGAAACAAAATAAATATAGAACCCTATTTGGCTCAACTTTTTTGACTTTCCTCCCGTTGCTTCCATGACCAGAATCCAACAAAGGTTGAACAAGGGTTGTGTGACATTGTGACTGATGAAAACACAGCAGATGGGTGTGCTGCGTGTCTTACAAAATTGTTTGCTCTAGCAGTATGGCTGCGTGTGCATGTAAGTGAGTGTGTGAGTGAGAGTGAGAGTGTGAGGGAGTGTGAGTGTGAGTGAGTGGGAGAGTGAGCATGTGAGGGTGTGTGAGCGTGAGTGAGAGTGGGAGAGTAAGTGAGCGTGAGTGTGAGTGAGAGTGAGAGCGAGAGTGAGTGTGAGCGATGCCTGCCACGAAATCTGCACTTTGAGGTTCACCAGGTGCTGTGCCTGCCACGAAATGTACACTTCGAGGTTCACCAAGTGCTGTACCTGCCACGAAATCTGCACTTTGAGGTTCACCAAGCTCTGTGCCTGCCACGAAATTTGCACCTCGAGGTTCACAAAGTTATATGCCTGCCACGAAATCTGCGCATCGAGGTTCACCACAAGTGCTGTGCCTGCCACGAAATTCTATACATCGAGGGTCACAGAGTGCTGTGCCTGCCACGAAATCTGCGCATCGAGGGTCACATAGTGCTGCGCCTGCCAGGAAATCCGCATCGAGGGTCACAGAGTGCTGCGCCTGCCACGAAATCTGCAAACGAACCACATGTCCAAAAGTCACAATTCACTGCGCCTGTCACGAAGTCGGAGCTCCTCGACGATCACCGCCATGTCCAAAGTGCTGCGCCTGCCACGAAAAGTGCATTTCGAAGTCAAACACCTCCGATCCCTTGCACCTGTCACGAAAAGTCGACTTTGGAGCACCAAAACACGAGGTTTCCCTTGCGCCTGCCACGAAAAGTGATCACCATGTGCGAAAATGCGGACGGCACCACAACGAGAGCGCAGTTGTTAGAAGCACCCGCCGCGGACACCCAGATTTTGCGAGCCTGCGCAGTCGAAATGCACATTGACATGAATGTACTGTAAATAGCAGCGAATTGGCCGGACACGCCCGCGCGGAACAGCGATCTAAGCACACCTGCTTTTCACTTACCGTAAGAACCCCTCAGTGTGCCCACACTGTTTGGGGAAACATTGGCTGGGACAGAGGTTCTAAGTGCAGGGGTTCGAAGGTCGTGAGCCCATGTTCAAATACTGGGAAGGCACCCACACATACACTTGGAACAAACTCAGCAACCAAACATCGGAGACCTCCCGTGACAGCTGGGGAAAGCACCCAAAACACATGTGGCGGCTGCGCATGAGGCAGCTGTGAAACCTGCAGCTTTCGGCAAGCCAGCGGCTTTCACAGTGTTTTTTTGTTTTCAATCAATCAATCCTGCGTCCAGTTACTAGAAATTTAAGTAGCTAGGAACTTACTCCCTTACTTACTGTAATTAAGTAGGTGCCTACTTAATTGTGTGGGAACGGACTAAGAAAAAGGAAAAAAGAGGTACTGTTTTTCAAATTAGAATTGCCAAGGTGCTGCATCCTGTTCAAAAACAGGCATTTTTCAATCATATATGCTCGATAAACGAGCTTGAACGAAGTCTGCCAGGGTACTTGGTCATGTATTCCGAACCTACCCTTCTGCTTGCAGGGTTGAGCTTCGGGTTTTGTTTTCGCAGTCATTATTTGGAGTGCATAGACAATTAAAAGCGCCATGCACAGGTCATTCTTGTAATTTGCCAAGACTAGCCTTTTTTCGAACAGAAGAGACTTACATGACCGAATGTCGGAAAGGAAGTGCTGAGAAAATGTCTCATGCCTGAGTACGGATAATTGGGTTTGAGGGAATCAAAGGTAAAGAATTCCAGGTGATAGAGACGCAAGAAATGGATAAGGTCAACACCTAGCAAAGACCTGCGAACAAAAAAAAACAAACACATTGAGACCTGAGTTGAGAATGGGATTTATTCTTTTAACTTTCACCATGTTTATCCTGTAATCAAGGCCTTGCAGGTTTTGCAGACCTCAAAACATTCTAGCAACAGTTCGTGGTGGAATTGGGGAATTCAATGCCATTGTCCTGGTTTGACAAGCTGTGCTGGGCTGGGCACTTGAATATTGTATCCTATGCATAGAGCATCTTCGGCTCTACTAAACTTGCATCTCAAATGGACAATCCAAGTACGTGATTTTTCGTACGTAGCGAGGCGGTGAGACCATAGTACTTTGGCAAGGGGAGGGCATGACACATTGTATGTGTGATGCATCTATGTTTGTATCAACATCTTGGAATGCAAGCCCAGACATGGCTATATACATATGAGGACCCAGATCTTTTAGATACTCAGTTCTGTTCTCCAGCAACAAGGAAGGCTCTTATCCTCAGGTAAGTTGCTCAGTGCGGAGATTGTGATTATATAATTAAAGGTGTTCTTTCAACCTGCAGGAGCAGCGACAAATGCAGGCACGCCAAACCTCGACGTGAAGTGTGGATTTCAGCAAGTCAAGGGTCGCACAGTCCTTTCGGCATTTGTTGCAAAGGATTATATAAGTTGTGCTGCTTCTAATTGCAAAAAGAAAAACATGCCCGGCCCATAATGTTCCAAGATTTCTATTGATTCCTTGTGTGGAATCAATTCTAGCCAATACTACCAAAAACGATTCCGCCAGCATGCATTTGATCCTACCCACGCAACTTTGCATGATTTGGTTCTTCTACACCCAGGACCAAGGACTTTCAATAGTGGAGCCTGTCTACCTTTCACAGTTCATTTGAGCTCCGTACGCTGCCAGTCCTTGCGCCGGGCACCCTTTGTCATTTGCACGTCTGTCAGAGCCTCAACAATTTTTGGGTTTGAGGAATTCAAAGGTCGCCCTCTTCAGGCAGTCCAAGATTCATGGCAGAACCATCATTATTATGCAAAGCCCATGGTCAGAGTGTGAATGGCTTTCAGCAGTATCAATGCCACTTTCACAGATTGACAGAGTGCATGCGTGTATGCTAGTAGGTTGGAGGCCATCGCTAGTAGGTTGGATTCAAGGTGAACATCTGCAGATTTTGACTTCTCCATGTTTAGTCTTGCTTATTTACAGAGATGTTCAGGCTTGTGAGTTTGATGCCCTGAGGTGGACAGTGAGCGGATGTGTTCCTCCGCTTCAAACGAGCTGTTTCACGTGTTTCTGCCAAGGAATTTTGGTCAAGAGGACAGTTGCAGTCCTTTTGATCTTAGCTGCGCTTGCCAGTAATTCTTCCAGAACCCCACAGCCAATTCTGCCAGGACGTAAAGTGGAGCTTGGATTATTGCAGGCTTAAAAACTATGACAAACTATGGGAAAACAATGGCAACTTATGGAAAACATGTTCGCTTCAAGTCGGTTCCATCGATTGAAACCAGGCTTTGGTGGCTGACTCGTTCAGTGGAAGCTTACTCGAAGCCTAGTGAGGGGCAGGCTCGAGAATGATTGGGTAAGATGCATCATCAAGTGAGCCCGAGTGAGCTCAAGAAGACAAGAAAACAAGCATACGGAAAGCACAGCAGTCACAAGAGAGTAGGACAGTGAGCGCCCTGGCCCTTGAGGACGCTTTCTCTGATGCAGGAAGCGACCAAGAGCTCTCAGACGAGGCAAAGCAACCGGGTGCCCTCGTTGAGTTTTACATGCTTCACACACCCTCTAAATCCCTGATTTGCGATTGTGCAGATTTTGTGATTTATGTGCTTTATTTGTTTTTGTTGCTTCTTCCTGACCCTCTTGCACCTCAAAAAAAACATTTCCTGAGAAGCACAAGCTCAAAAACCAAAGATTTTCTAGCAGCCAAAAAGTCTTGGTGGTGAGTGGCCTGCGACCCATATATATATATATATATGTAGTTATTCCTGCGAAGCAATCATACATGTTGATTCTCCGACTGACTGAGTTCACCCCAGAAAGCGGCTGCAGGAACAATCTGACGGCGATTAAGACCTGTACGTGCAAAGCAGGATGCAGCCGCAAACTAGGCAGTATGCTGTTATATATATATATAGTTATTTATTTGCACGTCTTTCAATGTTTGGCAAAGTCAGGTATTTCTCTTCATTCATAGAGCAATTATGTGTCTTCCTGCAGTGACACCCTCGAGTTCAGGCATCGGAGGTTCTAAAGGAACGCCGAGGTTCAAGATTATTTTTCACTTTGAGAGCAAGTTTCTGTCCAGTAGCAAGGTCGCACTCTGGGGCCTTCAGTCTTCAGCCACCTTTTCGAGTGATCTTTATAGCTTTATACACTCCGCGCCAAGAGAGCTCCTGTAGTCTTGTGATGTGGCGACACAAGAAGCAAAGCTTGGATATACCTGGATAGACATAAGAAGCAAAGCTTGCATACTGAGTCTTTTCAAGGGGGCTCAATTGGCGATGTTGCTGGTCTTTTTCAATGCGACTTTTGATTGCAGGATCGCCCATATCCCCAAATGTCCTCTGACTGAACTGAACCCTGCAAAAAGGCCAAGTCAACCTACTTGTATGGCAGAGATGTGGCGACGTCTTTCACAACCTACTGGGCATGACCCTCTTGCAGAGAAAAGTGAAAGTCTGCTGTGGTTTCTAGAAGTACCATATTCGGCTGGCCCACAACCTTTTCAAGAAGTTGAGAAGAAAGTCAGTAAGGCTTCAGAAAGGATCGTGCCATGCATTTGTAGCCATTTTTGGCTTTCATGTTTCCGTCCAAACGTAGAGAACAAGGAGGTGCGGCAAGGTCTCCTAAAGTAGACACGCACACAAGCTTGTCGACATCATATTATCAACATGAGAATAATTGAGAATATGCACTTGCTAGGGTGTTGCGAAGTTGGAAGTTCATACTGAGAGTCAATCCGGAGGGTACTATTTCGCTCGCTTATGCTCAGCTTGGAAACCTTGCTGCCAGTAGAGCAGTTTTCCCATGTCATGGGCCAAGGAGGCCGGTTTTTTATTGTCCCTAGTCCCTGGTAATCCAATGATACGGGCTGGTCAGCTCAATTCAATGCTCATTTCCAATGCTCTGCACGGACACTTGCCTCTTGCTCAGCTTCGGAAATCACGCTCTATGACCCTCCATACTATCCCTACTCAAACAAGCACCGGTGGTGGCCTCCCCAAGGCTTGCAAGGTCTGGTGGGCAGTCTTCTCTCAGCTTTGTGCAGGTGTGTTTCAGGTGCTATTGTACACAAGACTTTGAAACAAGACACGTTGGTGATATGATTCCGTTGATGAAGTTGATGTTGTTTCAACCTTCTCCTTATCAGCTTCCTTTGAAACAACACAGTCTTGGAGCTTTCGGTCTATCGTGACCTGGGTAGCATGGGGCATGGGGCGCATGGGCAAATGTAAAGCCATGCAAAAGTGTTTTTTGTTCTTTTCGGTCTTGGTGTTTGCCAAAACGGTCGCAGCCGTCGCTTCTGTTTTCCACCTCCAACCTACTGGCAATGGCCTCCTACCTAGAAGTGATGGCGTTGGCAAGGGAACACAGAGTTTGTATGAGTTTGTGATCTCACACATGCATGAAGCATTGATTTGGTGGATCAAAGTCCATTCAAAAGCCCAGTGTAGAGGAAATAGTACCCTCGTCACAACCTTATATAATTGTATATACTGTATATATATATACATCAGTTAGACCAGAGCGCCTCCTCGGCTGCAATGTCTCACGCTTGCTATCGGTCCATGCAAAGGGATATGCTATGTAGCCTTTGCACCGCCCATGCAACCAACAATGTACTGGCCACTCATAGAGGCTTACCAAGAAGGTTCGCTTTGCCAGACGGTCTTACTTTCAGAACAGGTTTTGATTGAGACTCACAATGTCAGGGCACGCTGATCATGATTAGTGCCTTGCTAGCCGTCAGTGTGCTCCGCTGCTGCCTGGCAAAGGATCACCACTGAATAACAGATGTGTTTCTTTGGATGTACAGTAGGATGATCGGACACACATGTGTACACACCACATATGTTGTCAGGGTGCTCGTATCTAAGGTTTTGCCTTCAAAGACTACTTTGGCGCTGCACGAAGTGTGGCTGGAGTCTTCACGGGCTCTCTAGTCTTGCGGTACCCCAGGCCATGGACTCTATTAGTCCACAGTGACTCGGCATATTCATGGGTGAGCCTGGTTCCCCCCATGGCACCATCAGGGGTGAGGTTCCAAACAATAATAGGAATCAAACATAATCATTCGGGGAGATCGAACACAACATTGAAAAGGGTCAAAACAGAACACTGCTGACTTGTTGGTATTTACAGCACTCATAAGAGCCAACAAAGAATGGAATGAGTGCGGAGTGTCACGAAATCTGGACATGGTATCTCTATGTCCAAGCTTGCCATGAAATCTGATTTAAAGATACTTTAAGCGGAACCCCTCTTGCATGTTACCTTTTTGCCACAGGCAACACAAACCCCCACGTTCATGTTAGACAAAGGACAACAGTCAGAGCAGTAGAGAACCAGTCTGCCTTAGGCACCTTTTGTGTCCATGCAATGCTGCACAGACCAGATCCACACCCAGAACCCAAAGACACTGCAAATACCAGCAGGTTAAACGCTGGCATCTTTGTCGTGCCAATCAATTCTTTCCTTGATGCCTAGCCCTGATCGCACACAGACATGGAGATAAGACATTCACCATTATGTTGTGGTTCTTGTTGCTGTTTCAATTTCTGTGCCCACAACTGGCCCACAACGTTTCTTTGTTTGTTCGCGTGTGTGGGCGCAGCATCAGCAGGCACGGCTCCTTCGGGGTATGGAAAAAGATACTCTTTCAAGAGCACTTTTGTGACATTCAAACCTATGTTCATGTTCATTTTCGTTTGGAGATTCACACTGGCGCCGTCACTCCAAGGTGCGATGTGCGCTCTTGGATGGCTTCTCAGCAGAACACCTGCTTCATGCATGATATGACATGTGCCAAGTTGAAAGTGCCACTGGGGCACCCTTCTTTGGTCGCTGTCTTTCAAGTTGAGAATCTGCCACAAACCACCTCACACTTAGCTGAGGCTTTTTGATGTCGGCCCGTGGCTGCTGGATTTTCAGAGCTCGTCTGCCCTCGGCTCCAGTGACTAGGTCTAAAGTGGTCTGAACATTTTTCCGATGCAAACACCAAACAACAGGCAAAACATATGTGGCTAAGCAAATCCAAGGCATCCAACAGATTTCATAGTCATAGTCCAAAATGCATCTTCGGCCACCGCTGCGCCTTGTATTTTAATCCTCACTCTGGCATACGCCTTTGGATTGATTCTCAATTGGTTCATCAATGATACGACAATGCCACTGATGGCCAAAGGTACTCATCCGCCATAACCCTAGCTGCCCTCCCTCGGCTCCATGGCTCCAGAATCACACCTTGCAGGCCACACCTTGGCCTTTCTTGTACTTCTTGGTCCGTTTTGCTGGATGCTAGGCTCGCCTAGAGGGGTGAGAGGTGCTGGAGGCCGAACACCTGGAAATTCCCACGATCCTTCCAGGGATCTCAGTTCTATCACCAGTTTTTGCTTTCTAACTTCAACTGGTTTACAACAAATTGATGGGTGTGCAGGTTTGCTTTGGATTATGTTGCTTCTCTCGTTGCAGGTTTGCGCGTAAACCTGAAACTGTACATTCAGATGAGCGTGAAGGAAGAGGAATTGCCACTCAGATCCCAGCACCTTGGATGGTCATTTTGTCATTCCTCTTCCAAAGCTGGTTGTGGAAAAAAAAGCGGTAAATAGAATCCAAAAAAAGACAGGAAATGAAAGGATTGAACATGAAAGCAGAACTCTGACTCTTTGCCTTGTACTTGCAACATATTGCACTCTTTGGCAAATGTGCTTGCTTGATTTCCCGTGCTGTATGCACTAGCCGGACGTGAGCAATCCACACCTTGGTCTTGCGTCTTGGAGGCACTTGAGTCCAACTGTAATGCATTGAGTGTCGCACTGAGGAGAACAAACTCGATGGAGGCTGGTCAGTTGCGTCCAAGCTCTTGTGCTTACATGCACTTCCAATTCCATCCAAGTTGCGAAGCAAACAGAAGATTCTCAGATCTCATCATCTCTCGTCTTAGAGATCGTCGAACCATTTCATGATATTTCATGATGAGCACAGGAGTATTGGATTCTATTACAGTATATATATATAATTCTTCGATGATGACATGCCCGAACTTTGACAAGCAGTACAGGGACGGTGCAATGTGAACGTCTCCTTTGTCAAATGCGCAAAGGCATCTGGTCCGTTCGCCACCCTCTTCAGCTGGGAGAGTGATGCCAAATGAGCAGCATCAAAGAACCCTTCTTCGAAGCTCCAGGCCTTTTATAGAAGCGTCCTGGAGACTGACAATGGCGACTTTTGTTGAAGCCCGTGCGAGAACCGTGCATGAGCCGAGTCGACAGCAGTTGATGAGGGCGATGGCTCTCACGGCAAAGACTGTCAGATGAGAATAGGTTTTCTCCGAACAAAAAGTCAAACAGCCGGTACAGCAAATGCTAAACCGCCAAAGCAAGAAGATCCTGTGTCTTTAAGTTGTTTGTAGTCAAAGCATGTCAAATGGCAAAGCAGGCAAGTTCAGTCACAGCACTGGGGAAGCTCAGACGTCCTCTCTGGCAACACTTGGCGAGCCAGCATTTCTCAGCGCCTCAACATCTACCGTATTGCCTGAAGTACATAGGAAGCACAGGAAGGGTGTTAATTTCATGCGCCATGATCATGTTTATTGTGTATTGTATGTTTGGATGTTGCTTTGCGTACTGCAGATCAGGCATGAATCAAGCACCATCAAGCAGGGTCTTCAGTGACAAAGGATGGGTTCTATGATATACTTAATATGTATTTCGAGACCTTGATTGCAACTGGAGTGGCCCTGCAGGTGCCCCAGGTTAGTCTGGATCAGGCATTTTGGTCTCACCGAAGCTGGTCTCTGAGCAGCTGCAGTCGCAAATTTAAAGGCTCAGCTTGGGATTGAAAGTGGTTAATAACAGGACTCCAAACAGAAGTGGAGCGAACCTGCATGAGTGTCCTCAGGATAATGCAACCAGACCCAGAGTGTCTATACAAAAATCTCTTGAAGCTTTTCTTTGCACGGACGCTTCAGAAGGTCCACAGCAGGGGTGTTGATAACCCTTTGGCACATCCCACTGTGAAGGGAGGAATTATTCGGGCAATTTTGGGCATCCTTACAAAAACATACAAGAACATCATTCGCTTGTAGTTGGCCCAAGTTGCTGTCAGGACAGACAATATCACTTTGTGGCCGGCATTGCCAAACTTGGGTCAGTCATGCGTTCGGTAGCACCAATGGTCAATGGTCCGATCCATAATTGAGGCTGATAAGATTTTGAGTTGCTTAAGGTTGAAACTATTCGTGTCGATGTGTTCTCGACAACATCTTACCAACGCTTTTGGGCCCCGCTCTATCCCGATGTCACACCACCTTGCGCTCTCAAGCTTGAGCTGTGACTCTGCAGTCTGCCACATGACAAACACCTTGCGGACAACATTACAACTTTGCCAGCACAAGTTTTCTTCGGTGCACCGGTCTTTGCAGCGTCTCAAAGCACAGGACAAGTATGGACAAGTGGCGTTGGTTTGTGTCGCGTTGGACCTCGAGTCGCCCCGAGTCGTGCTTGGACCTCGAAAGATGACCCATGGACATGTTTAAAGGCTTGCCAACCGTGAACACGGTGGAGGCCATCACTCTTAGGTGCAATTTGCATGTGGTGCGAAAGCTGCAAGGAGCTATAGCTGAGCTGCTTCACTTGATTTGGGCTCAGAACACCCACGGTTTTGTATGTATTACCCTGAAAGCATGCCCAAAATGGCTGGGGGCCTCAAGGGAAGACGGGTCCACGGCATGCCTTCGAGCGCTTTGCAGAGAGGAATGGGTGGATTCATCAAGTATGTCTCTGAAACTCATAATTCGTGGCCTAGTTGCCTGAAGAAGCGAATGCTCACTCAGCGAAAGTCATCCACAAATCTGGCAATTCCAAGCGTTTGTCCTGGCAACTCATTCTGGCCCTGATTGAATTGCACAATGATGGAGAGTCCGACACGCACGCACACACACACAATTTTTTTTGCAGGGGGTGACCAAGATCTTGGCCATCCTGGTAGCTTGGCACCAACAGAGCGCGCTGCTTTGACGATGTGCAGTGGACCAACACTGCGACCACTGTAGTATTGAAGACACTCTTGCTTTATCACTTTATCTGTTAATCGACCAAATCTTAAGACAAGTCATGCATGTAACAAGAAAAAGAGATGCATTCGTTTTCCCCCCCGCCCAGGTGCACCCAGCTACACTCGTAGGATATATAGCTGCATTGGGGTGACTGGCGAAGCACTCCTGGGCCACGGTGTGTTGTGGTTGCATTTGGCGTAGTCATTCTGCTGTCATGTTGGTCCTTGTGTTTTTGTCAAGCATTGCACGTGTGCATTGTTTGCTGTTTGTTTAATTTTTGTTGTCGTGTTTGTCCTTGTGTATTGTTAGGTGTTGTTTGTTGCTGCAAAGGGTTGTCATTATGTCGTGTCAATGTTTGTTGCCTGCAGGGACTGGCCGGGGCGACTGGCGGAGCACTGGGTCGGGCCTTGTCGGGCCACTGTCCGGTGGCACGTGTTGTGCTATTTTTTGTTGTGGTTCTGTGTTGTTTGTGTCAAATTGTTTGTTATATATATAGGTCCTATTTTGTTTCTCATTGGGCTGACCAGCTGCAGCAGCAGAGGTCACGATCGAGAACAGAGAGTGGCTCAGAGGCTTCTTCACAATGCCACACTGGAAAAGAGATGTCCCAGAGAGACAATCCTTGAACGCCATTCAGTTTTGGAAACACATTGGCCAGAGCATGAAAATTCATACACAAGCTTCGAGAAGAGGATTGCTCGGTACCAAAAGAAGTTGCAACGAGCTAAGCAGCGAAAACATCGGCAAGCACAAATCGCTCAAGAGAAACGATTGAGTGCTGCTGGAGAAAGTTCCAGCAGCGACTCTAGCAGTGACAGCAACTCTGCTCGGGCCACGCTGGCGGACCACTGTGTCGGGCCTAGCTTATTTTTATTGGATGCGCCAGGTCCTGTTGTCATTGTTGCATGTTTTGATGTTTCTTGTTTCTTGTCGTGTTGTGTGTGCATGTGTTTGGTGTTGTCGTTGTGTGTGTGTGTGTTGTCACTGTCATCGTTTGTTGTTTGTTGTCGGGTTGGTCATTGCACTGGGTGACCCACTGCAACAGCAACTGTCACGATAGGGTCGGCTGTCTATCTAGAATCGAGTTCTTCCAATACTGTCGGGTAGTGAAATAGGAGGTGTATAAGGCTTATTGAAGGGACCTTATTTGTTTTCTTTTGTTTCCGTTTGTGTAAGCGCCCACATGTTTTCCAATATTGAGCAGAGACTCACAAATTTGGTTGCGATGTTTTTGTTTCTTAACAACACCTGGTGAGTGACTCCGCGTCATCATCAGACATAATGTTTTTTGACAAGGACGTTGGGACAACTGAATCTTCAGGGGCACAGGGTGTTTGAACCTCAAGTCTCCTGCTACAGGCTGGGTGTCGAACCCTTCAGGCGGCCAAGGGCTCAGCTCGTAATTTCTATCAATGATTTTGGCAAAACTTGGAGGACTTTTGGGGTGTTATTTGATGTTTTATTTGATTGATTGTGCAATTCCTTTTTGAGGCTAGTCGTCAAACCCTCAATCGCCATTGTGCACTCAACGACAATGATATATGTCGTACTGTTCATTAATTCTGACTCTTCTAAAGCAAATCTCACCTCATTGTTTTGTTGGGTCATTGGCCAGACACAAATGGTTTGACATTACAAGGGTTTTGATTGATGCACATTTGCACCCAGGCCATTTCAGAGAGCTTGATCTCGTCAGATGAGTGTGAGGATGAACAGTGACTTGGAGAACTAGAGAGCATTGCTAGGAACCTCTAGGCAACAGGCAGGCAACGCAGTCATACGCAGTCTTGGTGTTGCTGCATCATGAGGCGCAAGAGAGACACAGAAAGGAAATAAGAAAGGAAGTAACGGGGTGCTGGTAAAAAAGAGAGGGAGACCATGTGAGGGAACTTCGTTGTTTGCGTTTTAAAAAACATAGTGTGTCCCCCCCTAAAAGATTCGTTTGAGGAGATGGAAGCGTTCATGCCTTGTTCAAAATTTGTTTGCTGTGCCGTGGGTTTTGCTTCATTTGTCTTCTGAGTGGCATCGTGGTGGGGGGGCTGGTTTGCAACATTATTTCCCTTATTTCAGGGCCTCGCAGTCCATATTATGTCAAAGGGTTCTTGGCACGTATTGTATGTCAAGATTTGTTTGCATGCCATGTGCAAAGCTGATGGATCTATGCCACCGAGCTAGCATGTCTCAATGTAGAAGTTCGGGAGGGATGGGGAGAGGGTAAGATGCACTGCACAAGAGAGGAAAAGGGTAAAGGGACTCGGTTAGGCAACCTTTGGAGCGATGTGACTTGCAAACTTTTTTTTTCAATCTTTTTCAGCTTCATCTCTCGAAGCCTTCGGATCTTGGGGACAACAGTGTCAGTCTTGTTCATCGGTGGATCTATGTTCAAGAGCTGGAACTGCTCAATGACTAGGCTCAAAGAGCCCGAACCCAGGCACCAAAAGGGTTCACTTTCGTTATCTCCGCTTTCACTTGATGAAGTCAATGAACGCTCATGGAGTATTTTGCCCAAGCATACCCCTGGTATCAGGGGCAACGTATGACCGCTACTTCTTTAAGGGTGGGCAAGTTGTGAGGTAGCTTGAGTTTGGTACATAGCCTTGTTAGATATTGTAGGAAACTACTAGCAGCAAGAACGCACTGTACGAAACATCTCCGACACTTTGAGAGAAATGCTACTTGCTTAGCTGCTCAAAGGAAGTACGCAAGGTCGCGCAAACGGACGACTCGTGGATCATCGGATTGTTTGCAATCTCACCAACATATCATGCACTCTGACAGTGTTTGATCTTTTTTGTGATGGACTTATATATTGCCGATGTCCCATGAACCATGCTATTTTTTTTAATTGTGGATCGTTTCCGGACAGTTTCACAGTCCAGGTGTACTTTGAACGCGCTGCAAGTAAGGGGACGCAAGGCCGCTGCTGGGAGGAGAGGGAGACATTTTGAATCACGACATATAGATATATATATAGAGAGAGAGAAGAAACGAATAAATAGAACCCTGAAATACTATAAAAGTACTGTAGATCCCAGAGCTTTGATCGGAGAGATGCTATTTATGTATATATATATATATGTCCTGGCCAGAACCACTGTGCAAGGTCTCTGAGGAATTGGTCAGGGAGGCAGACACAGAGGCCTTCAAGGCCGGTCCCCGGAGGAATTTGAATTGATTTACAGAATGTTGTAGCTAGTAGCGTCCTTACTAGTAGCGATGCACCTTGTTACTAGTAGCTTCTTGTTACTACTAGTAATGCCAGGAGCTACTAGTAGCTTCTTGTAGTTCTCAAGGTCTCATGTTTGGAGATATCATCCATTTATATACATGCGATGAGACTATAGTAGTTTGCTGCTGCAGTTTCGGCTTCGGCAAAAATGACTTCCCTTCAACGCATGGCTGCGCCGCCTTGGCTTGTTCGCGATGGATCCACTCGATCGCAAGCAGGTGTGGCGTCGCCGGTCCGAATGCCAGAGCAAAACAGCGTCGCTAAGCTTGCCAGGCCGAAGGCCAATGGCCAAAGCGATGTCGCCAGGTTTGCACGATTTCCCATGGCTGGCGCTGGCGCTCTGGCCACTATTTTTGCCCGATCCCTCACTCGACCGACTGGGCGTCCAAGTCGCTCCAGCCGCTCGAGCTCGACCGATAAATTCCAACGAACCCGCTTGGTGACCTTCACAGGTATGGTTGCAGGATATGCAGTGTACTACTTCACCCGGCTCTCATTTACATATGTGGGTTTGGCAATGCGGAGCGATTTGGGTCTGAGCATGGTGCAGCTGGGTGCAATCAGCTCTTTGTTTCCGCTTGCATACATGAACTCGAAGTTCCTTTCTGGCATTTTGTCAGACCTGTTGGGTTCTCCAGTCTTGATCTTTTCGTTGGGCTTGATGTGCACCGGCGTGCTGAACATCGCTTTCTCCACTGCGAACACTGTACCCATGTTTACGTTGATTTGGCTTTTGAATGGCCTCTTTCAGGGGTGTGGTGCGACCCCATGCAACAAGATGCTCGTGAATTGGTTTCCAGCAAGGAGTCGAGGAAAGTGGTGGAGTTCATGGAATGCTTCCCACAACATGGGCGGATTTTTGATCCCGTTACTGGCAGGTGGACTGGCTGCTCGCTTTAGCTGGCGTGCTGGCATGTTTGGACCAGGGGTCATTGCGTTAGTCGCAGGTGTCTTGGCACTGCTCTTCATGAAGGACTCGCCGGAGAAGCTTGGCTTACCCTCAGCCGAGGAATGGGCAGCTCCACGCTTTGCAACCTCAAACGAGGCGAAAGTGGAGGAGAAAGAGGCAGATGAGGCACCTGAGGATGAGAAACTTTGGAAGCAACTGCTCAGGAACAAGTTCCTTTGGTGTATGGCAGCTATGCATTTCTTCATTTACTTCATCCGCCAAGGCGTGCTGAACTGGGCCCATTTCTACATCATGGATGAATTTGGTGTCCCGGCCATGGAGGCCACGGCACGAGTCAGCGGCTTTGAGCTTGGAGGCCTGCTTGGCTGCATCGTTGCAGGCCAGGTTTCAGATTGGCTGATCAGTCGCTACCCTCAGCGTGGGGCGGCAGGTCTGAGGGCACAGGTCATGGTGGTCTATTCATTGGCGGCAGCTGCTGCGGTCTTTTCCTTGTGGGTGGGTCCTCCAATCGCATTGCTTCAATGGGCCTCTATGGCTGCCTTTGGCTTCGCCATCTATGGGCCACAAACTCTCATCACGATGACAGGGGTGGAAACTGTTCCGCGGAGAGCAGCTGCTACAGCAGGAGGTTTGTTGGCATATCCTGCGCAGCTCGGTTCCATGTGTGCAGGCCTGCCCTTTGCTCTTTTGGTGCAGAACTACGGATGGGGCGGCTTTTTCCCAAGCCTCATCGGCTTGAGTTTGGTCTCTGCAGCTGTCATCGTCCCCACCTTGAACACGCCCTCGTATTGGCAGGCTCGCCATGGCTGGAAAAAGTGACGGCCCTCAGACTCTCCGAATGGACAAAAGAGAGCCAAAAATATGAATGCCCGATTGCCTCAATTCATGAATATCTGGAAGACTTCAAGAGGACGTCTTTGGATAATGCCATCTGGAAGACTTTTGCTTTTGCTGGCAAGAAAAAGGAAGATTGCTGCGACAGCGAAGCTAGAGTTGTGACAGTCCTGATTCGTGTGTGAGAGAGAGAGAGAACGGGGCGACCGAGCAGGCTATTTATTTGATTTGACATACTTGTACAGTAGATGTCTACATGTAGCAGGTGATCAATTGCTTTAGGCTGCTTTAGGTATTTTATAAGATCACTGATTCGGCATAAGTTGACTGGGTATGTCCAACTCACTGCTGCGCAGGTTCCTGATGTGCTTTCTTCCTCATTCCTTGAGACTGATCACCTTGCCAACGCGTCCGAAGAGGTGGCAATCCCGTAGCACAGCTGAAGATAGCCTTGCAACATCCATCAACCACAAGCTGGAGAGCACATTGATATGGGAGAGCTCAGAATGGGCATCTCAACCCAGATGAGAATCTGCAGCTAGGTGGTGCAGTCCTCAAATGCAACATACTCAGCCAAGGCGGTTCTACCCACTCAACCACGGCTGGCACAAGGTTGTTCCTCGACAGAGATCAGATGTGAAGGTGCTTCTTGAGTCAGCGAGTTGCATCGCTATTAGGTTCGAGTTGGAGGCCATCGCGATTAGGTTAAACTACGCAGCTTTGGAGTTGCTTCTGGCATCACTCAGTTTCGTGCTGGGTATTAACATGTTACCATCCCAGACTTTCATGATATTCCAGCGAAAGACAATGAAAACGAAAGCATTGAAGCCCAAACGAGCTGCAATTTGTTTTGTGCAGTGAAATGTTGGGAGACACGACAATTCAAGTCTTCATCCACCCCACCTTAGGCTGTCGATGGTGGAGATTTTTAGCTGCATCCAGGGTGGGCTGCTGTTGATCCTGGATTCGCTCCAGGGAAAAGAGTCAAACAGTCCAGCGCTGGGACCAAACCAGCAACTTAGTTTGCTCAATGTCAATCAATGTCTTTGCCATGGTCTCCCACCTCTATAGAGAGACCCGTGCTCCCAGGACACAGTGGGCTTCATGCGAGCTTCTTTGAAAGCCTGTGACCAGGATGTGCTTCGGGCACGGTTTGATTTTCTGTGCTTCTCTCATCCAGATATGGTCCAATGGTCTTCAAGTCTTCGCTTGACATATTGAGTCGAGGTGAATACTTCTGCGCCAGCACAAAGGGCTGCCACAGTCGGCTCCTCAGATCTATCTTGGACCCATTGGTGAAAGAAGCGGAAGTAGAAAGGATCAATCCATCCAAAGGGTTCATCTAACTAGTATCCACTGAACCTGACAGTTATGGACAGCTTACGACAGCCAAGGCATTGTCTCCTGCCCCAAGACCCGTGCGTGTCAGCTGAAATCTGCAGTTTTGGATGGCACGGAGAAATGGAAGCAGCTTGGAACAAACATTGGAATCCAAGCATTGGGCAGCGAAAGCCAACTCTGGGAGTCTGGGAGAGGAGAGGACCGAGAGTCGCTCTGGGCCGGGGCAGGCTTTGTGGGGCACCTATGGGCCCTTCGACTTGCGATGGTTGGGGTCGGTTGGGCCAACCGGTTGGGCTTGTTGTGGCGTTATGGCGGTCGCATATAGTACTCGTAGTGGGAGGCCAGTCTCGTGGAAGCAGCTCATGGAAGCCGAAGTCAGGCAGCGGGCGAAAAATCTAGGAGCCAAATCATTAGTGCGAGCGCCTCTTCAAGGAAGCTCCCCCCGCCCTCGGGCGGGGGGCGGAGGGAGCTTCCTTGAAGAAGCGTGAGCAATCCTGCGTCCATATAAGTAGCTAGTACTGGTAGCTTACCTCCTCACTACTTAGTAGGCGCCTAATTAATTACAGTAAGTAGAGAGGCAGCGCCTCGGCTACAAAAAGAAACAAACTCTTTTTTGTTGCAAGCAGCAAAATCTGATCGCGTGTGCATCACCAACCTTGAGGCACGACCCATATTGCCAGACGTGGTATGTGAACATGGCAAGCGCTACGGTTGGTAAATGGGGAGGAGAGAAATGCCGAATTCTTTGCTGTGGTACGGAGAATGTGGGCCTGGTGATCCAACGATAAGAGTGCTTGATCCTGTTTGTTGATTGCATCCAAGAGCGTTGCTGCACCTTGTAACAAAGCACAAGTCAGACCTACCCGCACCCTGTGCACCTGGCTATTGAAAGGCAGCTTTTGAATCTAAAGTGTATCGTGAGCTCATGCTATCGGTTTTGATCAAGGGTGTGTGAAAGTATGCATGGCATGGTTGCATTTAAACCATTTTACCTGTCTTCGTGCAGGAAGACCTGTGGAGTACAAGCAGTGTGACAAGGGCACAGTTCCCAAGGCAGAGAAATATACATCAACTTCTGCAGAATTCCTGGCATTTTGAAGCACCTTTTTGGAATGGAGCAGTGTGTGGCGGTCATTTTGGTGCTATCAGGCTTCTGCAACTGCTTTTGCAATGATTTCCGCTGCGCAGGGTGCTGAGTGTGTCAAAGCTGACGGCCCTGCGAGCATGACCTTCTATCAATACAGCGCGCAGAAGAAGGAGATGGGACAGCCGTGCCGAATGGGACAACGGGTGTCAACCGTGTTTCCTGCTTCTCTTCAAACTGGTAGATTGGATTGTGACATGTGACAGCTTTTATCGCAGCTACCAAGTTGCCACACACTTGCAACGCATGCCATTGGCTACTGACTCTTGTCAGTACGACCCTGACCGCGTTTGGGAGAATGTGGACATGGCAAGTCTCGGTGGAGTACTGCTGCTAGGAACAAGAATGCTACTAGGGGCTCCTGGCCTTACTACTAGGAGCAAGAAGCTACTAGGAGCAAAGGGCATCGCTACTAGGAGCAAGGACGCTACTAGGGGCTCCTGGCCTGACTACTAGGAGCAAGAAGCTACTAGGAGCAAAGGGCATCGCTAGTAGGAGCAAGGACGCTACTAGGGGCTCCTGGCCTTAGCCCGCAAAAATGACTTTGAACGCAACCTAAAAAGCGATTGAGTTTATCCACTGGTAGTTAGGCTTTATGGGTTCAAGTTGAGTTTCTCCTTCAATCCTCAAGTTCGGTGCCCCATAGATGTAATTCAAGTTCAATCAACACCATATCCTCCAAGACATAGATTCAATAAAAGCAAAAGGCAGTATTACATAACATATTTATTTCATCTGGGACTAGAAGGTTTACTGCTGGACCAAATAGTAAAGGAAAAGCTTCACCCAATAATAAAATGTTGTCCAACGGATGGTTTGTATAAGCTATATCTATTTTCACCACAGCTTATGTTCACCACAGCGCGCCACACAACGTTGACATTGCATCATATGGTGTATGACAGCACCACACGTCAATGACGAGGCGTTTGTCATCATGCCTTTGCCACTTTTTTTTGCTTTTGATCGCCATGCCACACACCTGACAAAGTGCAAATGACCTAGCCTCAAGATACCTCAAGACTCAAGACCTGACAATACACAGATCAGAATTGAATCATTGCATTTCACTCATATAGTTATATGGTCTTTTTGTCTTTCTGCTGTCGTTTTGTTTCTTGAGGATTTGTTCTGCAAGCCCAGCCAAGGTTTTATCTTCACAATGAAGTGGTGGACAGCAAGGGTGAGCAGCTGTCCAAAGATGGAAAGCTGCTTGCCAGTCTCTGCAGAGCGCGAGCTCTTGTGTTTTTGCTTTTCTAGTGTCCTGCTGGATTGGGATTTGCGCAAAGGCTTGACAGGAGTCTAAAGCATACTATGCGCGTGTCATTTTTGTTTTTATGCTGGGTTGATGTTTGAGTCATTTGCATTTGTTTCTCTGAGGAGATCGACAAAGTTCGACATTGATCGTATTGTGCGTTTCAAAGTGACTGTGTGCCTTTGCAGAATCAATATCGATCCGCCGATAAGTGAAACTCGTTTGTGGTCGCGCTTACACGCAGATCCTTTTTGCAGCGGCCGTTCCTGGTTGGTTGAGTGCTGGGCAACTGGCATATCATTGGATCACTTGGAACCAATCGGAAGAAAACAACACTGGGCAACGTCGTGTCAGTTCTGTTACTATGTCAGCCTACCCAAGAGCAACCAGCACAGTCACAGTTAAGGCACAACACAGAGGCTCTTTGGAAACAATTCCGTTCACAGCGCCTTGGAGCCAATATTTCTGAGGATTGTGTGTGTAGCACTTCTGATGCTATTCAATACTATGAATACTATGACACAGATTGAATTGAATACTATGTCATCCAGGTGGTTGAGCCTAGTATTGCGTCTTAATTACTCCGAACGGAATGGTCACTCTGCCAGGTTTGGACAATTCATTCAGTTCGACTATGGGCAAGCCACTTTTGGTATGCCTGACCATGTGAAGCAGCTTGGTCTCGGGGTGTTCACAATCCTCACCACTCACCACTGAATATACACATTTCAGAATGTTAATGATATGTAAATATAAATACAATATATATATATATACACACTACACACGGTAACATATATATATAGATACAGTCAAATACAGTGATACAGCTACACAATATTCTTTAGGAACATGTTCGTTGTAGGCGCCAGAACTCTCCAGGTGATGCCAGCTAGTCATCAGGTTGAAAGAACATTTGATACAGTGGTTGGCAGAGTTGCCCTTCTGATCTAGTCACCGGACTCGTCTTGGCCTTGAGCCTTTGACTAGTAATCTTGGGAAGATCAAACAACTTCATTAACTGCGCACCAATGAAGAAGGACATGTAGTGCAGACAGACTGATGGTTTGTTTTGAGTTTTAAATCGAGGAAATGCAATGATATTTGGACAAAGTTTGGTTTTGAAGTTGGATGCCAAGTAGTTCCAACGGGAGTCTCTGGATATGAAGGCGTGCGGGTGGGTCGTGAAAGGGCGAGGGTCGAGTGTATAGGCTGATGGAAAGCTCGGGGGCGGTGGCATGAGTTGAACTGAAGCCTCATGAGCCTCTCATGCGCACACCTCCAAGCAACTGGAATGATATGCCGCTATGCCCTTTCCTGCAACACAAAACATCCGCCTTCTCGGCTTTCCAACCTGGAGCCAAAAAGAAGATATCTACAAGAATTAGTAACAAGAAGCTACTAGTAACAAAGGGCATCGCTACTAGGAGCAAGGACGCTACAACAAGGACGCTACTAGTAACAAGGACGCTTGCATGGCTTTGCAATCTCCCCGCACAGCGCCGCACAGCCTCCACTTTTGCCAAGCAACCGCCACTGTTCTGAGGGCTTGAAGGACCGGTCTTGGCTGGCACTTCTTACTGCTATCACGTGGATATTCAACTGGGGTGAATATTGAGACAAGATTGAGATACATATCTCACCCACAACAGTCACCACATAAATTGACCAATAGACAGCCACTAAGCAGAACATCAAATTAATGGTGCTGAATACTAGTAGTATGGCCAGGAGCTACTAGTAGCGTCCTTGCTCCTGGTAGCGATGCCAGGAGCCCCTAGGGCCCTAGTAGCTTCTTGTTCCTAGTAGTAAGGCCAGGAGCCACTAGTAGCGTCTTTGCTTCTAGTAGTAAGGCCAGGAGCCCCTAGTAGCGTCCTTAGGTTCCCAAATGGTCCAGGGAATCGCTCTCCCTACAACTGCAAGGAGACGTAACATTGTTCGCTCCATGTCATCTTCGCCCAGCATCCACAAGGAATCCACAAGGAAGAGAACACATTATGGACGAATTATTCTCTTCCTGTTGGTTTGTTTAGGTAGGTTTGACAGCAGTGAATAGACGGAGAAGGAAGAGTCAAAGACGCACGCTGGTCAATTGGAAGATGTGGGATTCTTTGTCTCCAGGCGGGTTTTGGAGCTCCTTCCCGGGACGCTGCCCCTCCATGCCCTTCACAGAGATTTGGCACGATTTGGCATCAGAACTCCTGTTAGTTGTGTAGCTGCTCTTGGCTGCACAGAGTTTCCCCGAAGGCCTCTACGTTTCCTTTTGAACATCAGCCAGTGTGAACAGCGCTTGCATGCGTTGATGCTTTGCAGGTGCAATCTCATGTTCAATTCAGACAAAGAAACTCTACAATGATGTTTCAACTTGTTTCAACCATTAAATTGACACTGTGCTTGTCAGTCTGAGCTGACCAAGGACGATTCTCCCCAGGGTGGTCAGAAGAAGACAAGCACTTGCATGAGAGATTGGGCAGGAGGCGTGACGGATGGTGCTCCTTTGATGTTGGGCGTGACGTAGGCGTGGTAGGTGCCAACAAGGGAGATGGTTCTATGCCTTGACATACCAAGTCAGCAAGAAACCGCAGAGAGGAGCACCCACAGGAGCAGCACAAGAGTAGCTTTACTCAGAGTCAACCAGCGCTGTCATGGCACTTGGCAATACTCTTGAAGATCAACCAGACAAAGTGCAGAAGGTTGGAGTTCCTCTATAGAAAAGCAACCTAGAGTTGACCTATGGCACTATGGCAAGGTGCACCTTGTCCAAGTCCCAAGGACATGCAGGAATCAGCTCGAATGTAAACGTTTCTGTTGGCACAGGCTCTTGCCCAGAGCCTGACGGGACACCTGATTGCACTTGGCACATCGAGCCTGCTGGATATGCAGCTTGGTCACATTGTCATAGAAAAAGGTGGAGTCAGATTGATGACATTGCAGAAGGAGAGCGATGATTGGAGAGCGATGATTGGTACTTAAAGAGCTTTCCTGGGTGATCTACTAAAAATGCTTCAGGGTTCCATTGCCTTTGCCACCTCAAAGGGTACAGCGTCCCTATACTGGGAGTTTAATCTAGTCTTCAGGACAATCGATGCTTCATTCGCACATGACTATATAGGGAGAACAGAAAGACAAGGTTTCCAAGCACTACGGCCAGCAGACTAAAGAAACTAGAAGGAGTTGGAGGAGAACAGTCTGAAACAGTCTATTTATTTTGACCACTTGAACAGTGCGGACCATTTAGACAGTGAACATGCACCGTCTAAATATATAGGTGCATCTCTGTGTTGTCTCCGACAGACATTCCAGAGGCTCGACCACGAAGTTGCATCACTTGCTGGCCACATTCTCACCTTTGAGTTTTGTGCAAATCTGTTGCTCAACAAACTCCACTTCACCCATTCAGTTTGACCTCTGTCCAACCACTATGCCGAGCAGAAGACAAGGGCGAATGGGGCTGCCAGGTTGCATCATGAATGTGAAGTGCAGTATAGGCTAGGACATGAGAACATCTCAAGTGGCAACTGGTTGCAGGGAGCTGACAACAGAGGTGGACCTGTATGCACAGGGTTCCTGTTTCTCTTAACCCACCCACTTGTTCTATTGCAGATCTCACTCCCTTCACTTACCCGTTTAACCTTAAGTTTCAAGTTTCAAGTTTCCCAAACAAAATCTAGGAACCAAATTGATAGCGTGAGCTATCCTGCCTCCAGTAGGTAGAAGCTACTTGTTAGGTACTAGCTACCTCTTCTACTAGCGACTCCCTAGCTACTAGCGGCCTACCCCCAATTTAAAAAGGAGTGTCACTTACGAATTGGAGGTCATGCTCAGCGAGCTCATGGGAGAAGATGCCGATCAGATTCTGAATTCTGGAGGTGCACCGACGTGAAAGGACCGAGAGGTTTTGAGCGGGAAGCTGTAGCATGCAGTGCTTATTAGCAGCGTATAGTCTTGTGTCTTGTAGTCGCTTGTCATCTTGCAGTGCTTCCTGTTCTCCGTTCCTAAGGCCCTAGGCCCTAGGCAGGTGCCTTGCCCTCGCCATTTTTGTTGCTCCGCATGCGCCAGGCCACCTTTATGATGAGGTCTTGGACCGTGGGGTGGGAACAAGCAACAACTTCTGGGCCAAGAAGAAGGACAAAGCGGCTACTGGGCCGAGCTTGGACTTGGACAAGACATGCAACTGTTGTTCTAGGCCAGGGGGGGTCAGCCTGTATAGGAAGAGGTCACGAAAGGTAGCCCTTTAGGGGATACCTTGAGTTTGACTTGCGAAGCAAGTGTCGGCGAGTCCGGGTCTAATAATTGATCATTCAATTCAACCCCCCCCCCCCC